ATATAACATATTCTATAACATATTTCAGAATGAATTTACATAGTATAGAATATGAAATATCTTCAACAACAATTTAATAAATTGAAGGGAAGATATAACTTAGAGAAGAATTATTAGAAATCAAAAAGAAAAATCAGAAATTTGTATTAGATCACATTGTATCCAATATGAAATATGAAACTTTTAAATATAAAGAAATAGAATATTGATTTTTATATTAATTAAAGAGAGGATATCAATTATGATAGAATTGGTCTGGGACAGAAGGATTCGAACCTCCAAGTAACGAGACCAAAGCCTGTTGCTTTACCACTTGGCCATGTCCCATTTCTATTTCTATTTAACGGTAATAAACACTAATATCAATATTGGTTCTTTGTCAATTCTAACCCATATATCTATGGAATAGGTTGTTGCTCAGATTCAACACTTGTAGAATAAAAATGAATTCATTGATGCTTATGTATTCATTCAATTACAATTAAGATATTCTATGAAACTGAGATTTTGATTCCTTAGAATTCTAATTTAGAACTAGAATTGAATTCAACAATTGAAGGATCTTTGATTTGATTCGGGTTCAAAGAAGGATTTTTTAGACTACCTTCTTTACCTTTTTTTTTTTTCCCTTGTATCAAAAAATCAATAAAAATGAAATTATCTCCAAGAAAAAAATGTTTGTTATGCCTAATATCTTCAATTTGATATGTATGTGTCTTCATTCTGCCCTTCATTTGGGTGGTTTTTTCTTCGCGAAACTGCCCGAGGCCTGTATTGTTTTCAATCCAACCGTAGATGTTATGCCGGTCATACATTTGTTCTTTTTTTCTCTTAGCCTTTGTTTGGCAAGCTGCTGCAACTTTCAATGAGATCTTTGATATTGCTTTAGAAACATATATTTCTAATTTACTCGATAAAAGATTTTGACAATTGAGAAGATAAGATAAGTGTTGCATGAACCTTTGATTCAAATATTGAACATTTAGTAGGTTAAGTGAATTCTTCATGAGATTGGAGTAGATTAACAAACTCATAGTTGTGTGTAGGTATGTGAAACCTAACAATTTATAGATACAAGAACATCAAGGACTGTTTAGGAAAACGACACCTTATTCTAGAACGCTCATTTCAAATAATTTTTCAGCTTCTTCTAATACCTTTCACCTCTCTCAGTTTTTTTCAAATGTTATTATCACTTCAATTGGATAATTATATTTTATCCTTCACTTGGCTATTTTTTTTAGTTTTCTTTTGAGATTACAAACTTTTTTTTTCTTCGTATTTCATTTTAATATCTCAATAGACATTGTAAAATTTTATTTAATAATAAATAAAAAATCCAAATAGTGCAAATTCTCTCAACTAAAAAATGCCACATACTCAAAAAATCATGAAGTTGACTTATTTTGAGTAAGTTCATGAAAAACTAGTGTTCCTTTGGTGGCTCGCTAAAGATGTCTATGAAAATGGCAGTTCCCAATATTGGATTGAGCTCAAATTTGGAACTAAAGATTTGTAAGAGAATTCCTATATTCTATTAATCAATATTCAAATTGCTCAACCACAATTACTCAAGCCACATAATATTTTTCTTTACTTCCGATTTACACAATAAATTAAATTTATATATTTAATGAATAAAATATAATTAGGTCAAATGGCATACGACACAAATAAATATATTATCAAACTTTAATAAAAGAAAATCATTTTATTACATTTTCAAAATGGTGTTCAAAATTTGAAAGCGTCCAGAGATCTATAATTGACTAGTATATTGGCTGTAAATCACAATTTGGCAAAAAATATGTCAAAATTAGATAAAAACAAAATAAGATAGAAAATAGAGAGACTTTAGAAGGGAAAGAGATAGATATGGCAAGAGACCTTTGAGACAAAAAGAGAGAGAGAGAGAGAATAGGGAGAGAAGAGACATTTGAGACAGAGAGAGAGAATAGGGAGGGAAAAGAGGAAGGGGCAAGAGATATTTAAGGAGAGAATGCGAGATATTTATGGAGAGAGTGACAAGTGATAGGGAAGAAAGAAATGAGAGAGGAAAGAAATTACGGTTTATATTTAATTTAAAAAAATAGATAGTTAGAGAGAATTAAAGAGGTGGGAAAGAGAAATACATGGCTTTGCAACTCATGCACAACGTGTAGAACTGTTAGCGTAGTTCGGACGAGTAATGTGGGCTTTGGTCAATCTCAAGCTTCAAACCCCACACATAGCGCTCCTTCCGTAAAACCGTTGCCTCTTACTTTCTCTCTCTCTTGTCAGTTTTTCTCTCTCTGAAACGTCCAAATTCTATCATCTCTCTATCTCTTCTTTCTCTCTCCTAAGGGAAAATATTAAAATTTTACAGCAAAACTTCTCTTAATTTACCTTTTCCTACCTCATTGAAGGCAACAATGGTGAGTTCTCATATGACCAATTTCTCTCTTCTTTCCTTTCTATTTCTTCATTTGATTAAATGGATCTAGAGAGAGAAACAAGCCATAGAACACCTCAAAGCATCAAAATATGAACATAAAAACAACATAGATCCATTGAAATCATATTCACCAATGATGGGAGATCTTGATCATGTATGGTTTCTAATTTTGTTTATTCGTAGGCGAATTCGGCGTCGGGAATGGCGGTACATGACAATTGCAAGCTAAGGTTTTTGGAACTGAAGACGAAGAGGAGCCACAGGTTCATAGTATTCAAGATCGATGAGAAGATACAACAAGTGATGGTGGAGAAGCTCGGCCAGCCCAACGATACATACGATGACTTCGCTGCCTCGCTCCCACCGGACGAATGTCGCTACGCAGTCTTCGATTTCGACTTTGTCACAGATGAGAATTGCCAAAAGAGCAAGATCTTCTTCATTGCCTGGTATGCAAATGTTTGAGCTCTCATATTAACAAAATAGAAGTAAAATTTTAGAAAGGAAAAAGTTTATAAAGGTTACAAACTTAAATTGTAGAGTTAATATGCACCTCAATAATCCATTGGAAGAGGACGTTTTGACGTTGGAAAACTTCGAATCTATCATCTCGATGTCGAAATATACGAAAACATATGGAAAAAAAAAAGGAAGAAAAAGATTCAAAACTAGTGCATCTTATAACATGTTATCTGGACTGTCAATTTTCAATATTTTTATATGTTTATAAATCTACTTGATTCAAACTATTTTGGAGTTCAAAAGTTTATAATTAGTGGTATGAAAATAATTATTTAATCCAATTTTTTGCACCAAAATTGCAATCTTATGATAAAATTTGAAAGTGTGTCTTACTTTATATCCTCTCTCAAGCATATATTAGAGGTGGATATCTTCCTCCCTCATGCATAATATGGAAGAAATGTTGGCGCTCTCTGGGAAGGATATTTTGTATCATTTTGAAGGATGGTCCACCACCGTCCACTGTTTGTTGAGCTTTCGACAATGGATTCACATATCTTATAATTTTTCTCCTCTTTTCACACTTAATTAGATCCCTCTCTGAATGATCTTTTGGCATTACAAAAAGGAAAAAATTTATATAAAGGTGAGTCCCTAAACAATTAAATTAAATCATACTTTAAAAATTCACTAAAAGAGGTGGTTTCGATGCCTAGAAAACCTCAAATAGAATGAGAAAAAATAGATTTCGATCTTGGAAATAATGCATCTTGTAATGCATTTTCTCGACCGTCAATTTTCAAGTTTATCAAGTGTTCAAAGATCTGCTCGATCCACACTATTTTTGCAGCTTTAAATTTTATAATTAGAGATGAACATAAATTTTTAGGCTATCACAAAGATTTTCAATACTAAAATAACATATTTCAACACTATTTCAAGGTGGCCTTATTTTGATTATTTAGGGCCTTAGCTTTATGCAAACTACACCCTTAAAAAAATATTATCTTCCTTTTTCTCTCTATAAATAATCTTTTGGCATGACAAAACCCCCTCTCAATCGATTAAATAAGACATGCTCTTGTATTAAGTTGAAACAAGGGGATAAGAGTACATGCATAATTGGTCATAATTGGATAACTACATCCTAGATTTTAAGAAAGTGCCACTCAAAAGAGTAAACAAAGAAACTTTCTTAAAAATTGTATGTGGATTTAAAGGAAGACAATATTCTACTTATTTTAGTTGGACGACATAGATTTGATATATCTTTAAGACATTAAAAAGTAGTACATCTTTTAAGATAGTGATAAATCTATATCATATAAATAAAATGAGCAGTACATATTATTGCAACCTTATTTATATAAATATAAGGCTACAATCTCAGCTAAAAACTATAGATGGAAAAAGTTTATATAAGGTGTCCACCTTATATAGTAAAAGTAAGTCATAGCTCACCTTATACAGTAAAAGTAAGTCATAGCTCAAAAAATCTCTCTAGAAAAGTCGTTTCAATACTAGAATCAATTGATCATCGATACCTCACGATATATGACATAGAAAGAAAAGATTTCAAGTCTTTAAAATAGTACATCTGGTAACACATTATCTGGACCATCCATTTTAAAGATTTTTAAGTGTTTATAAATCTACTTCATGTAAAGGTCTAAAATCTTGTCCTTGGGTGGATAAAACCAAAAACCTTCAAAATCCAACCTTTTCTTTGGTAGGTAATTGCAAATGACCTTTAGTCCGGTCATGGTAGCAATGGGCCAGATGGCCCACCACGGCCCTAAAAAACTAGGGCCTCGGCTACAAAATGTGGCCCGATGGCTAGGCCTGGGCTAGGCCAAGACAGGATCGGTTTGGTCCTTATTTTTTCATCTTTTTTATATTGTTTTTCTTTAGCTTTTATTCAGCGTGGCTTGGCTCGGTCCTGGGCCAACACTTAAGGGAATAGGGCTAGGCTAGGGCTAGGGCTGAGCTCATTGACAGGTACCTCTTATTTTCTATCACCATGCATCTTGCTCATTGATTGGTGATGCCGCTCACGACTAAACACTTTAAGTCATGGATCATAATGTAATTTACCATCCTTGAGTCTCTTGATCATAGTTCCATAGCCAGACCAAATAAGTGGTTGACCGATCCAACTGTTGACTGGGGCCTTGGCCAATGTGGCCCAAGAAAAATATTTAACCACTTTTTGGCTGGTCGGACAAGCCGGTTTTAACCGGTTCGACTACCTAAACAAAATTGACAATGTTTATTGAATGTATTTTTCTTTCACTTTTTTTTCTAAAATTCTGTATAGACAACTCCACTAGTGGTTGGACAGGTTTGGTTCAGACTAAACCCCTCAACGAGCCAATGGTTGGTCTAATCCTGAGAACAATGCTCTTTATATTTAGTCAAGCTTCAAATACTCGGCTTAGGCTTGAGACCAAGGCCCTATCCGAGCTGAGTAACTCAGGCAAGTCCACTTGAACTCACCCGAGTAGTGTTTGGGCCAAAAAAACTGTTTAAAAATGAGTAAAATAAATTTTAAAAAAGTTAAAAAATATAATAAAAATAGTAAAAAAATAAACTAAACTATAAACAATTTTGAAAGTTCAAATAAGATTATATATATATGTGTGTGTGTATGTGCGTGCATGCGTGCGTGCGTGCGTACGTGCGTGAGTTCGCGCGTATGTGCGTGTGTGTGTGTGTGTGTGTGGAAGAGACTACAAAACGCCTATATGCAAAAATGAACAGTATTTTTGCCCAGACTGTCACAAACATAACATGTCCGTGGTGGTCTGTCACCAATACAGAATGCCCATGACAGGGGT